AAAAAAAAAAAGAAGAAAGAAAGAAAAAAGAAAAAGAAATAAACAAAACCTCAGCTCAACCTTCCCAGTAGTTGACTGACGAACAGGGAGGGACGTGGGCCTCTTTGCAGTCGGATCTGAAGACATCGCAGTGACCCGAGCCCACACATCTGGCCTGGGAAACTCCAAGCTGCGGTTGCTCCTGCTGCCAGGGGCTTGTTGTCCTGTGTTGCTGGCTCCCTGTTGCTTCCTGGTCCAGCAACACCCCAGTGGTGTTTTCATCCAGAGGGCCAGACGAGCCCGCGGGGACCCTCTAATTACAGAACTTCGCTGGGGCAGACAGTTGGGGACTAAAATAGCCCTGTGGAAGGCGGTGGGACAGGTTGTCTCCCTCCCCCGTCTCTCCCCCTGGCCCACCCGGGTCCCAGAGGAGACAAGCATAGGACGGGCTCCTGGGGTCCTGGTTACGAGGCAGAAAAGGCGGGAACAGAACCGAGGGAAGGCAGCTGTCTCTGGAAAGGAAGTCAGGAGTGGGTACAGCCAGGAGCCACTTCCTGGCAGGGCCAGTGCGGGTGGCTCTGGCTTTGCCTTGCACAGAGTCGAGGACAGAGCATGTGCCTGGCACTAGCTGAAGCCCCGAATTTCTGTGCACTGCCCCTCGCCCCCACCCCGCGGGTCTGCCCCCTGAATCTGCCAGACCTCAGGTGTAACAGGCTGGCTTCACCCACAGAGAGCATGAACCCCGAACACACGCGCCAGCCAGGGATCTAGGGTGGAGCCGCAGACACCGTGCTCCAGAGCTGCTGGCTGGGAAAGGCGATCAGCAGGCAGTGCAGAGTGAGGACCGAGCCTCCCGGCCCCACCCCATCCCCCTGGGCCAGGGCCCCCCGACCCTAGCCGGGCAGGAGAGGCAAGGTGTCCTCCTCCCTGCTGCCCGCGTCCCCCACATCGTGGATCACCTCCTCTTGCCAACACCCCAAGGCCAGCTGTCCACAGGGAGGACATCGTCACACCTGTCCCCGTCCAGGACATTTCCGGGTGTGGTCGGCAGCCCCCGTGGCTCCTGAGAGGACAGAGTGGCCTCCTGAGGACACACATTCCCTGACGCCCCTTTCCCGCTCCGGGGAAGACATCACAGGATGACACCTTCCTCAGAGTTCCCTGGCGCACAGCCGTTGTCCCTCAGCTCAGGCCCCAGCCTGGCACGTCTGCCAGTGCTGTGGGAGAGTCTGTGATCGTACCGCCTTTGCCACTGTTCTCGGCCCTGGGACCCTGCACTGGCTGGGCAGCAGAGTCCTGGGGGGACGAGGCCTTCCAGGCCACTCACGGGGCCACCTCGTGCAGTCTGTGGGACGCCCGGAGGCCTGACCTGGCCCTGCACATGGCATGGTCGGGAGGCCCTGTCACCTTCTGTCCCGCAGGACCCACAGGAAAAGGTCTTCCTTTGCTCTCAGTGCAAAGCCAGGCTGAATTCGGGTGACAGCTGCTGAGGCAGAGAGGGGGCTCCAGCCTGCCCCCCCCACATTTGTTTTCGATGCCACTCGATGTGGTGACACACACCTGTCATCCCAGCACTAGGGAGGCCAGGGCAGGAGGGTCGCTGTGAGTAAAGAACAAACAAACAAACAAACAACAAACCAGAGAGGCAGCCAAAGTGAAGAGGAGTGGTTGTATCCCACGGTCCTGACGGACGGCCCGATCCCACAGGGTGCTTAGGCTGCAGTTGGAGGGGGGCTCTCCCTTCTGGGGGCCATGGAGGGAGAGGAGGTGCAAAACCAGGCCTCGAGCCAGGCCTGCAGGATTCCAAGTGACCAGCGTGAGCACTCACACACTCAACAAACTCACACGTGCACACACACAGCATTCACACACATGCTCGGACCACACGCCTGCATAAACACACACACACATGCACTCACACACAGACTCACAAACACACAGGCCTGCACATTTCTTGGATTCTGCTGTGGTTCACTAGGAATCTAGGTTTCTTCCAAAGCCTCATGTGCTCCTAGGTGGAGTGACAATCACAAGTGTGTAACACAGGTTTGTCCACTGCTTGGTTTGGCATACTTCTGTGTCTGGATGATGGACTCACTAGAGAGGGAAGGCCCAACATGGGGTGGGACACCGACCAATAGGATTGCAGATTGGAGAGAATAAAAAGGGAAAGGAGGAAGTCCTGCTACTTCCTGCTACCCTGCCGTGGACAGTTTCTCCTCTGCCATGCTGCCCCACCTTGGAGCCACTCAGCTGTGGGTTAAAATTTCTACAAACTACTGTGAGCTGAAATAAACATCACTCCT